GATACACCTCTACGCGGTGGTTGGGACAAGTAAGAGATTTAATCTCTGAAACGAAGTATCTCTATTTTTTTATTTTTTATTTTTTTTTTTGTATAATACCTAATAATTTAGCGATAAATAAAGTTTATTAAATTTGAATAATTAATATATTCGAACTTTTATATACAGTAGTTTATTTTTTGATTAGTAAAGATTAGTTAAAAAGTTTTCGCATGTATTTTAATCTATTTAAGTTTATATATTTTAAAAAGTGAATATTTAATAAAATAAATATTTTTAAAAAAGAAAAATCGTCAATATCAAATGATAACGATAAATTTATTTAAAAAATACAGTAAAAGTAATAAAAGTCTAAGTATATGGTATTGACTATTCCTTACACCGTTTAGCAAATTTGCAGGAACGCAGATACCAAATTATAGTCAAATATCACGGCAATTTACTAAAAGTTCGATGCGGATTAAAATTTGATAATTATCTTAAAGAATTCAAAAAGCGCGAGGTCTACGCACTGCCAAAAATTAATTTGCGTGATCTAGAGTTTGGAATCGAAACTTATGTTGAAACCGGTTTGAACCGATCTTATTATAAGAAAAATGAATTTCGATCTCTAGTAAAATTGAATTGTATGATTGTATTTGATTGGGTCAGTCGATTGCCTTAGCTATAATTTATTTATGAATCATTTATGAAACCGTTTATGAAACCGCATAATAAATTATAATAATCAATGCATTTAATTTTTCACTTATGAAACTGATCCATGAAACCGCAATGTCGATATTGATATTAACAAGTTGTTAATACTGTATCAATAATTTCTTACGTAGTCTAGTGTTTTAAGCCGGCTGAAGCAGCCACGGCTAGCCAGTTAAGCCAGCCAATATAAAGCTGTCGGCTGGCTAATGCGGCTAAGGGTTAACTAACAAAATTAAAGTTTGGACAATTTAACTTAGTACATAGTCAATTTCGATTCCAACCTAACTAACTTATTCTCTAGCCAGCCACTATTAGCCGCTTAGCTGATGTTTTTGGTCGGCGACTAAAATCATGCGGCTTAAATCACTAAGTTACTGTACCATTGTGACACAATTTTAAATTGATAATCTATAAAATTACCACATCTTATGAAAGCTTTTAATGATGGATAACAGTAACTTGATCTTAAATTTTGTAACTCAAGGACCTAATGTTGGTAACCAAAGCATTAGATCTAAACTTAAAGAAGTACGTGGAGGTTGGAAGGAAAAGAATAGGGTTCGCAAATCTTTGAAAAGAGAGCTTAAGAAGTCAAATTCTGGAAGTAATGAAATCTCTCTTACATCCACTATCGTTGAGGCAGGAAGTAATGAAATCTCTCTTACATCCACTAACGTTGAGACAGGAAGTAATGTTCTACCAGAAAAATCAAATTCTAAAAAACAATCTAATCAAACTAATAAATCTTCAAATAAGGGGGATAAAGAAACACTTAATCATTTAAATGGTGATTCAAACAATAAAACGCAAATAATTTCATCAATTTTCACTCGTAATCCTGAAATTGTTGATATTAATGAAAACAAAATATCATCAAATAATATTGCAAATAACGAACCAAGCAATGCTCCGATTAATGATACATCATTTATTGGTATGGGCTTGAATGTAGACCTGGTCGCCAATGTGAAAAATAAACTTGGAATCGAAAAGCCAACTAATGTCCAAAAGAAAGCAATTCCATTTTTATTATCCTCAATTCAAAATAATAATGATACAAACAATAAAGATGTAGATATTGTCCTACAAGCTGAAACTGGTTCCGGTAAAACACTAGCATACTTGCTACCAATCGTACATCGCTTGATTTGTGTCACTAATGACCTTCAGAATACCGATCAGAAAACAAGATCACCCTTATCACGTTCCGTTGGCACACTTGCTATAATTTTAACACCTACACGAGAACTGGCGAAACAGATTTTTTCAGTTCTAGAAATTTTAGTAAATATACCACCATCAAGACTTAGTGATCGGCATTTAGCTCATTGGATAGTTCCTGGTTCAATTACAGGTGGTGAAAAAAAGCAATCAGAAAAAGCAAGGCTTCGTAAGGGAATAAATATTTTGGTTTGTACACCTGGTAGATTATTAGATCATTTGTCAAATACAAAATCATTTATTGTAGAACATTTGCATTGGCTAATACTTGATGAAGCTGATCGTCTTTTAGAATTAGGATTCGAAGAAACTCTTCAAAATATTTTGAAAATTTTAGATGATCGAACAGAAACAGGGAATAATTTAAAAAGTAATTTATTCACTTCACCAATGTGGCCAAAAAAACGTCAGACTATTCTTTGTTCAGCTACGCTTAAAGATGATGTTAAACGATTAGTTGGTTATAGTTTAAGTAACCCATTATATGTTAGCGGAAATGATTATTCTAAAGGACAAATGTATTCAACTCCTAATCAATTGAAACAGACTTATGTGATAACACCTGCGAAATTACGATTAGTGACCTTAACAGCGATCCTAAAATCAATATTTAAGGATAAAAATACGAATCACAAAGTTATTGTTTTTTTTTCATGTTGTGATACTGTAGATTTTCATTTCGATTTGTTTGTAAATTCGGGAAATTTTCAAAAAGATGAGATAAGTAATATTTCTGAAGGTGACAGAGAATTGATTATGGACATAGATGAAGAATCTCACAGAGAATCGAATTCAAAATCGAAGGAAATTTTGAGCACGGTAATTCCAAAAGTAAGACTTTTCAAATTACATGGAGATTTATTGCAACGAGATCGTACAACAACATTTAATGAATTCAGCAAATTAAAATCTGGAATACTGTTTTGCACGGATGTTGCAGCGCGTGGTCTAGATCTTCCCAATGTAGCAAAAATTATTCAATATGATCCACCAACAGATTTAAAAGATTATGTTCATCGTGTTGGAAGAACAGCAAGATTGGGCAAAAAAGGAGATGCTATATTATTTTTGTTACCAAGCGAAATCGAATATATTAGTGTATTAAAATCACATGAGATACATGCAGAACCAGTCCAAGTAGAAGCATTATTGGAAAACCTTGTACAAAAAGATAAGAATAAAGATTATAAAGTAATTGCTACTGATATTCAATTAAGGTTTGAAGAGTATGTTTATTCTGATAACAAGGTAATTGAAATGAAAATTTATACTAATTCTTTGGTTTATTCATTAGTTAAATTGTTAACGAAAAAATAAATTTTTAGTGTATTACGTTGGCACGAAAAGCATATTCGTCGTTTATACGTGCGTATGCTACACATTCAGTATCAGAGAAACATATTTTCCATGTGAAAAAGTTACATCTTGGTCATATTGCAAAGGGGTTTGGACTTCGAGAAGTACCATCAAATATTAATTCCAATTCATCTAATAGTAAAAATAAGATGAAAAAGAAAAAAAATGAAGAAAAAAGGAGAGATGTTAAACCAAAAAGTTTATCATTGAAGAGAATGGCAGAAGAGGATGTGAACGATGAATTTGCGATTGGGAGTTATAGTTCTCTGTTGGGACCAACTACAAAACGAAAAAAGAAAGGATAATCAAATTAAGTAATTTATCAGTTATAGGTCATTTGATGGTATCTTCTATATGAATTAAATCATGACCTTAATCATTTTTTAATTGTGTAATCGAAAAAAAAAGCATTTAAAAAAATCATCGAACTTTAAAAAAAGCAATGTTTCACATGAAATGGTTGTTATTATAAGTAAATACCTACATTAAAATCTACATTAAATACAGTGTAGTAAGTTTTAAAGAATTTATACTATTAATAAAAAATTTTTCACTGATGGAATAGGAGCATTTTATATAAACTATAACGATCCGGATTTGTAAACCCATGAGCCGTAGCTCTGGTCAAATTTGCAGATCATTTGGCCTGGTTTGAAATTATTTGACTTCAAATGATCTGCAATTTTGACTAGAGTTACGGCTCGTCTATTACACAATTCCGATAACTATATACCGTATCCTATCGTGAATAAGCACTATACCCTCTACCCCAATTTTTAAATGTCAGATTAGCGGAAATCGCAATGAAGTCTTTAGCCAAATTATTACCGCTAATC